GCTAGAATAACGTGAATAACAAAATAAATCAAGTAGTACTGGATATGACCCAAAATATAAAATAAGTACCCAAGAGTCCCTACTGATGAAAAGAAAATGATTGAATAAGTTAAATAGAGAAAAGAGACGCATCTCCCTTGCAGAAGAATTCCCAGATTTATTTAGAATTTATGCCAGTACTTTGCCCTCAAGGAGGTGAAACATAAGCTCCGTGCTCCTTAGGTGTGGGCTTAACGGAGTGACTGACTTCCGTTCCAAGAGTTCAGTACGGAAAGGGAGAGGAACGTGACAGTGGAGAAGTCTGGCAAACAGCAGGCAATCAAGCCAGGTAATCAAGGTTAGCATCAACAGGGATCCATCCTGTGGAGAGTACGTACCCTAGACATGCTGGGTTAAAATGCCACTTTACCTCTGAGCTCTTCCTCTGAAAAACACGTAACCCTGGTCTAATAACGAGAAAGGCAAATTCCAACGGAGGGACCATCTCTAATAGAGATTGCCCAGTATTCTTCAAAACCGTCAAGACCATCACCTCACAACCAAGAGGGGCCTAAGGAGGCATGACAACTCCCTATGTGTCTACACAAATGCTGGACAACACAAATGTAACATGGGCTCCTGGAACAGAAAAATATATTAAAACTAAGGAAGAAGCTAAGGAAATCTGAATAACGATGGGCTTTAACATTCACGACATCAACATTGGTTCATTCGTTGTAATGAATGAATCACAATACTGTAAGATACTAATAATAAGGAAAACTGGATGTGGGGTATATGGGAGCTCTATCCTATGTGTACTTCTGTAGGCCTGACATTGTTCTACAAAATGAAGTCCAGAAAATAAAGTCTTAAAACACAAATGTAAAAAGGCGAGGCTCCTGGCCCTGGCATCAGACCCAGTCCTGCCACTTGCCAGCTGGCTCAGGCTTTGAAGTTTGCGGAGGACCCGGCGTTCACAAAGCAGGTAAAGTTCAGTGTAGGTGAACATCAGACCGTCAGAGGCGGGTGTATAGAAGCAGGACTCACCAAACTAAGTCAGCTCAGATCCCCAAAGGAGGGAAAGGAGGGATCGAGGTGGTCACAGCCCAAAGCCTGGCCCATCCGGACGGCACCAGGCTGAGACACTGGAGGGAGGGGCAGTGGGGCTGCCTATCACAAGCACCCAAAGTTCCCTGATGTGAGCGACCAGAGGAGGTGGCCTCATCCCAAGATCACCATCCAAACAGAATTGTCCCCCCGGGGCTGGCTCAGATCTGGCTCTCTGATTTACCATGAGCCCTAGGCCCACTGTACCTGCAGTTCACATCTGTTCATGGGATGAGAATAGGAAGCCCCTGAACTTCATGCTGCTGCCCTTTCCCGGAGGACTCGGTAAGTCGGCTGACTTCACAGAGCCTTAGTACTTCCTGGCACAAAGATGTGGTGTTAGCTCTCAGCATTCCCCAACCTGCTCCCTCCGGGGGTCTCCAGCTACAAGAGTCCAATGGCTCTGAAGTCCCTTTTGGAATGGGGCGACAAGTGTTATGAATGAATCATCTGGAGAATGCCAATGATCTCGGAGGAGAGCCTGGTTCGGATTTGCTATTGACCCAATACGAGTATTTGCACTGAAGTGACATAATTGGAATTCTGAACTGACCCCACATGCAACAAGGTTATCTATCCATTGAAGTACTGCTTGTAATAGCCAGAGACTGGAAGCAACCTGAGTTCCCTTCCAGAAAGGGCTGGTTAAGTAAATATACGTGTGTGCTTATATATGTGTTACTATTATCTTCCTCTGTCTGTATGCCTGTAGGAGTGTGTGTGTGTGTCTGTCTGACTGTCTGTCTGCAAAGCACACACACCATAAACACATCTCTGGAAGGGTTCCTCAAGATACTGGAGATACTGGTGGCCTCTGAGGAGGGGACTGGGGGGCTAGGAGACTCAGGAAGGAACTTCTCACCATAAAGCTTTTTGTATCTTTTGCATTTTGAACCATGTGAATGTATAATAGCTCAAAAATATTTAATACAACCAGAGGAACAATAACGCACTGCTGTGGGTCACAGATGTGGAGGTTGGTGTGGGGGCATCGCCAAATCAAATGGCAGGGATTCTGAGGCACGGGAGGTGTCTGGTCCGGTCCAGCCAGCAGACGGTGGCAGGATGGGGCGTGACTCTCAAGGCCTGCAGCGTCCCAAATCTGTAAATGCTTCCTACGGCAAGTTGATGCGGCGGGGGGGAACATGTACATGTAGATAACTCTAGAAAATCCAAAACCCCTAACCTAGGACCGCACCCTCGTCTTTCCAAAAGGTCCTTGTTTTAAACTGCATTCGAGACAGCACAGGGCAGGGGTCAAGGGGCAAGGCTGCCGGTCAGCGGGGTGACACCTTGGGCACTGCACTCCCCTCTGGGTGTCCGTAAAGAGCAACAGTGACCTGACTTCCCTCACGCAGGTGAGCCTTTCATGGTTAAGTGAGCTATTCGTGTTTTTACATCTTTAAACATGAAGAAGCTACCCAGGGGGGCGCCTGGGTGGCCCAGTTGGTTGGGCGACTGCCTTCAGGTCGGGTCATGATTCCAGAGTCCTGGGATCGAGTCCCACATCGGGCTCCCGGCTCATCAGGGAGCCTGCTTCTCCTCTGACCCTCTCCCCTGTCATGCTGTTTCTCTCTCTCTCTCTCTCAATAAATAAAATCTTTAAAAAAAAAAAAAGAAATTACCCAGGGCTCTTAAATTTAGTAACACAGAGTTGACGAGCAGCAAGGAAAGTGCGGAGGCGTGCGAGCCCCTCCTTGGGGCACCACCACCACGAAGGGGCAGCCTCCGGAATCACCACTGTCCACGTCCGCTGCCCTCCAGAGGCCTGACCTCACGCAGTGCCCCACGGGCCTCGCCTGGGCCCTACCACCAGCCCTCACAGCGACGCCCAGCCCTTCACACCCCGGGCCCCGTGCTCGGCCCACTGCCCAACACACAGCAGCCCCCCGACGTGACAGGACTCAAAACCCACAAATAAACAGACAATCGGCTCAGGAAGATGACACAGGTCTGGCGACGGATGGTGGTGATGGTTATACAGCAACAGGAATGTACTTAATGCCACTGGACAGGGCCCTTACAGATGGTTAAAATGGTCACTCATGTATATTTTACCGCATTAAAAAAAAAAAATGGATGAAGTCTCATCTCATCCTCACCTGCTCTTAGGTCTCCCAAACTGCAGCCCATTCCTTGCTAATCACATCAGTTCTGTTCTCTAAATGAGAAAAGGGCCCCCAATCCCCTTCTGGGTCCTCTCCTGCCTCTATACTCCTCTCCGGCTGGTATCACCAGGCCCTCGGCTTTGAACAGAGTTCCCTGAGTGCTCCCCCAAGCTGTGGGTCCCCAGCCCAGGTGCCACCCCCTCTGAGTCCCAGCAGCCCAGCGCCCTCCTGCCCTCGCCTCCTCCCTCCCCAACCTCTTAGTCTCCACAAACAGCACCAGCTAGATGCTCCGGCCCCTCCTCTAGGTGATCCCTGCTCCCCGCCCCCTGCACCCCAACTTCCCATCCATCTGCGCTGCCCGCGCCTCCCTCCTCCCCATGCTTCGCCCCACGCCACCTTCCTTCCTTGCCCCGGCTCCTGCACGGCTGCCACCCTGCCTCCAACCCTGCCCTCCCCACAATTTATCCCCTCACGGGGGCCAAAGCCATCTTCATAAAAGGCAACTCAGACCATCGCTTGCCAGCTTTAAACCCTCCCAAACTTCTCAGGGCTTCTGGAAGATGTCCGAATTCCTCACCTCGGGTCACAAAGCCCCAGGTCATCTGGTCCCTGCCCACCTGCCCCAACGGGTGCTCTGTGGCAGGCCCCTCCCTCCCTGGCCCCCCCCCCCCCCCCCCGGCCTTTGTGTTCCTTGCTCCTCCGACCTCAGACCTTTGCCCTGGCTGTGTCCCCTGCCTGGACCCTCTCTCCTCCTGCACCTCACACAGCCGCTTCTGACCGTTCCCAGCTCAGCCCTTAACCTTGCCTCCTCTGAAAGGCCTCCTTACCCCCAACATCGGAAGAGACCCTGGCCACTTCTGCTCCTCCCTCCCATTCTTTCGACAGCATGATCCCCCTACCGCCGTCTGCCTGGCTAGAGAGGTCAGCCACGCAGGCAGGGGCTTGTCTGCCTTGCTCCCAACGGATCCCCAGCTCCTAGAACAGGCCTGGCACAGAGTAAGGGGCTGTGCAGCATCGAGCAGGTGTATGATCAGATCAACAGGAACCTGCTGCCTCACAAGGGAGCCTGCAGCTTGGAAAGCCACCAACAGGCAGAGTGGCAGAAACAGGTAAATTATACGGAGGGGGAGGACACAGTGGCGGAAGAGGAGCTGGGTGAGGGGAAGAGGAAGTCCACCTGAACGGTGACCGTGACCATTACTCCCTGCAGCAAAGACATGGCCCACGTGGAGCCTTGACCTTCATGGACAGAGCCCAACCCTTCGTTGGCACCCCCACCTACATTGTGCTTCGTGTGAAAAACAACCCTGTGACTCACCCTGAAGGAGGGGAGGGAAACAGTTTGAAAGTCACAAAAATATATTAAAACAGCTGTTTTCTTCTCTTTCTCTCTTGGTACTGGCCTCCCTTCCCGGCAATCCTTGCCCACCACCCACCACGGGCTTTCAGAGGAAAAGGTGCCCAGGGCAGGAAAACAGAAGTGCCCCCGCTGCAGCCCAGGGTCAGGGGAGGTCCCTCCAGCCCGGGCTTGAGGGCGGCTAACAGTCTCTACAGGCTCGACGCCACCGCCGACGAGGGGGCCGCTGGGAGGCCGGAGGTGCAGGAGGGTCAGGCAGGACGCAGCGCACAGTCGGGCCTTGCCACGGGGACAGAAAACAGAAAAGAAATGAACAGTGTGAAGAGAGGGAGAGACAGAG